AAATTTTGCCCCCCCCGCGCGCGCTGGTGTGGGGGGGGGGGGGGGGGGTAATGTGGACTCTAGCTTAATCTGAAGAAAGACTATGCACCCAGGGGTCATTGTCTCCTTAATAACATGAACTTGAAATCACAGTGCTCTCAATTGCGCTACTTTTGGCTACACAGGAGCTCTCATCATTGATGCAGTTTTGGTCTCAATGACAAATGACATTTCAAAATGAGAATTTCATCCTGTTAGCACCCATTTATCTTAGAAAACATTCACCCATCAAAGACTGGTTAAATCTTGTGTTTACAGATGTGAAATCTGAGGCTCTGAGTGATAAAATGACTGGTCTCAGTCCTTTAGCTCTCCTGATAGTGGCCAAACCAGAACTGGAACCTGCCACATCTGATAACCAATGAATTCCTTTTCTACTGCATTATTTAGTTCAACCCAATGATTGTATGCTATGTGTGCACATCAAACCATTCCCTCCATTTATTTATATGTTTTCCTTTTAACACGCTTGGTATTTATTTTGTTCTACCTTCTTAGCCTATTTATATTTATGTCCCTTTTCATTCTCTAGTGTCTTCATTTGATAATCAAATGATCCCTTCCCCAGGTCTTTGAACTCCTCAGAAGGACTGAAAGCTCAGTTCATCACAATCATGTATCAAATAATTTCTAGTTGCTCCAGATTTCAGTTAGGAGTCACGAGTAACTCATGTACTGGTACCACAGATGTGCTACCATGGGAGGCTTATGGTTTAGTGTCTTCACCAGATGCAGCTAAACCCAATCCAACCTCAGATAGTTACAGGCTGACAATCCTTGCTGGCCACAATGTTCTGTTGATTTAGTAAATGAAGTTCAATGAACTAAAGTTCTTGTGACCCTGAAAGAAGTCAAAACTACTACCTACATCCCAGAATTCAGTAGCTACATCACCTTCTTTCCTCAACTCTAAACTCCGATTTTATACACTTTTATCTATATCGTTCTCAACTTGAAGGGTTTCAATCTCAGTGTTCCTTAGTGAAAACTCTCACCAGTTTGGTTGATTAGTTCTTTTGGACTTCATCTGGGTTCACCATTTCTTCCTGCAGTTTGAATCTCAGAACATAAGTTATTCTGGAAGCCTTTATTGGATTTGCCAACTGGTAGGACCTTACATTTTATTTTCTCTCATATCTACTGTAATGTTGTAATGCCTAACATTTTTTTTTAATTGTCAACAAATCATTTTCCATTTATTGTTTTCTGTATATTTTGCCTTTTTTCCCGTCTTTGATTCCCTATCTCACCCTCTGCCATCTCCCACCCTCCTCCCACACTGTGTCTGGTATCTATTGTTGCTTTCTATGCCTCCCCCATTTTATTGTTTCACTAAATATCTTAATAAATCTAAATATTTTCAATAGCAAGCACAGCTGATATGTACATATCCATGAACACAAGACTGACTTTAGGCATAAACCTCAGTGAATAGAATGAACATACTGTAAAGTAGCACCTAACTAGGGCTATATAGCTTAACTGCAGTCATCAAATAGGTATTTCTAATGCCTTTTTGCAGAAAACTCATTAGTTTCTTAGGGAGCTCATTCCAGTTTGGATAGCTCTGACTACTCAAGAACACTAATCCAAAATGCTTTGTTGTACTGTCTACCTAATGGATCTAGTACTGCTGTTTTGGAATCACAGACAATATGCAATGCCTCTCCTTTGCATGTAGCTCTAAGGTATGTATTTGAAGACCACTATGAAGTCCCATCCTTGTCATCTGTTTTTGTCTTCCCTTCCCCAAATTAAACATTCTCAGTTCTTATGGAGCAGTCCTATTAATGCTACTCCATCTGCTTGTCTATTTGTTCCTCTTCTTTGCTTTACACATTAAGCCAGGACTCTCATCATATCAAAAACTAATTTTTTAAAAAATGTACTTACTGCTTTCTTCTGAGACACACACACACCACACTGTCCTAACAGGGTCTTCGCATCACGATCCCCTCCCAGCTCTGGCTAGCCTGGGTCATGGGCCCATGCATGCATGCCCAGCATCTACAGAGAACCTTGGGATGTTAATCTAGGACCTTCCCATGTGGGTCCAGTATTTCATTACTGTTGTGGCACTGTTTTTAAAACATCCTTTGATGGAATTTCATCAAAAGTTTTCCATTATTCCATTTATTTATTTATCAAACGTTTATTATCAATTATCACACTTTTTAATAGAAATATGACATTTAAAAAAATGCAGTCTCCTAACCTTAAATAGCTTACGGTTCAATAAGGAGGAAGACACATAAG